GTTGTTCATCTGAGCTTGTATTTACCTACTTTTGAGAACTGCTAAGGACCAGATGATTTTTCTTATGTCCTGAATCTTGATACGAAAAACCATAGAACTAAAAGAGGGCGTACTTGCTTTTTCACATGACTGTAGTAAATTCTTTTATTGCTTAATTTTGGTTCCCAAATTTATCACAATTACATTTTATATCATATTCTTCTTTTATTGTCCTCTCTTCAGAACGTGATAAACTGGGTCTGCTCCAGTTCAGGCTGCCAAAGACTTCCTGTCTAAAATCATGTTGTAATCATCATCAGGTCTGGGACCCCTAATGACCACAGACCTAACTCCACCCTGTGCAATTGCAGTATTTCTTCTTATTGTAGGGCTTTCTCTGTACCTGGAGGAATTAAGGAAATCTCACTCTTAAGAAGGCATATAACAGAAGGAAACACACTTCTGTCTGCTCCTCAGCCAACAGATTTTAGAAGATCCCCAAACTCTTCTAGTTCTTCAGGGATGCCTCACCAGCAGCTAATGACTAGAACGTTAGAATGCACTAACAGAATTTCCTGTTGGTTCCAGCAAATATCATCAGATTTTATTTTGTGAAGGGAAACAAGCTGGCACTAATATTCTCAATCATAGCTTCAAATTTAGAGTTAACCTTTCCCCCTTTCAGAACATTTGTAACCTACTTCTACCTCCCAAAGTACAATAAAGTGTGCCTGTTGTCCATGCTGTACTTGGGCCTTGCTCTTAAGCTTCTTCTTGGGGCTTTCCTCCTTCCCCAGTTTACTGCATGTCAAGAACAAAGCTTGGCTAGAAGGTAGTGAAAGGACCAGCTGTTTCTGCTTCTCCTCTCCCCCAATCCCCAAGTTTATAGAATTTGTGGTCTAAATCTTGTCTGTGTTGTGAACATTTTCTAGAGATGTGTGCTCAAGATCTCTAACATGGATTAATCTGTGTGGTTCACTTTCCTATCCTCAGAGTATAACTAGGATGAATTTCCTTCATAAATTTTCAGTTGATCTTGTGGAAATCTGGATCCATTATTAGAAAGTGAATACAGAGTTGTACAGAATATTTGTTCAGATACAATTTATTCAGCTAACATTTGAAGGTTAGGAGCAAGAGTTTGGGGCCTACGTGGTATACTGCCCTAGCCCATTCAGTTTCTGGCTCATGACTCTGTTTTATTTCACTGTATTGATCTAGGGTCACTGGAAATCCAAGTTCCCTCTTGAAAACACGAATATGGAGACATTTTTCAGAGCCACTTCTGAGCCTTGCCAAGTGCCCACAATGTATCAGGAAATGACATTCCGCTATGCTTCCATTGCAAACTCCAAAGTCCAGGTGTTGGAGATGCCCTACCAAGGAGACGATATTACTATGGTCTTTATCCTACCCTACATGAACACACCTCTGGCACAAGTGAAACAGGAGCTGACCTCAGAGAAATTGGAAGCCTGGCTCAGCGCCTTGAAAGAGGTCTCCCTCTCAGTGCATTTGCCCCGTTTCAAGATAGAAAGCAGCTTCAGCCTGAAGGAGAAACTGCAAGAAATGGGATTAAGGGATCTCTTCGACCCTGAACGGGCCAGTCTGCCAGGTCAGTTGGGATGTGCTTTAGCAGGGAGCAACCATTATTTTCATGAATTTAGTAAAAAATGATAACACAAGTCCTCCCACCCATAGATCAGAGTTCCCTCTTCTACATACTGTCTCATACATTGTGAAAAAAAATGTTTCCATTTTAGCTCAAATAACCTTTTTACTGTTCTGAAATTACACCACAGCCTATGCTGTGGAGTCCATAACACATTTTCTAACACATTTTATTAAAAGGCATAGTTTTTCATGAGAATTTCTCACTTCATCAGATGCATAGAGAATGAAAATGTATGCCTTTTTATGTGTTAGTCAGAAAATGTGCTACCAGAGTCCTGATTTAATACCTCCAGATAGTTCCCATTTTGTTGCTCTTTTGTTTAACATCCCAAAGAAGACTCCTACAAAACAATTAAAAATTGGATGGCTGAAGCAGGGACACCACCTATTCCTGGATCAGAGACCCATGACTAGCAATGTGCTTAGTTCCTCTTCCCTGCATATGTGTAAGGAACTCTGAACTGGTGGCTCTTTTTAAGAATATACCCAAATATACACAAATTTGTCTCTCAGACTTCAACTATTATTTTAGTACAGATCTATTTTCTGGTTTTATATGAAGGGTGAGAAATGTTGGCCTCTAGATATTGCTGAATTATAACACCCAATATTCCTCACTATTATCCAAGCTGGTTGGTGCTATTGAGAACTGTAGTTCAGCAATTTCTAGAAAATAAAGGGCTCCCACTGTTAGCTATCAGCTTGTAGTATGAACTGCAAGTCTCTTTTCCTGTAAAATGCTTTTCCTGATTACCTTCCACAAACTCTCCACAGCTAAACAACAGTGGAGCAAATATAGAAAAAGAAGTTTTCCTAAACACCCTGGAACAATTACTACCATTTGATCATGAAGCCCTCGTGGCACTAGGGTTGCACTCTCTCCCACAAGAACTAAGCACAGATGAAGTGCATTCACTATGCTGCACCCCCGGAATGGTTTAACTGTGGGCTCCTAACCTTGGGGAGGGATAGAATACCTGAAAGTATTTGCAAATAACCGGTCTCAGCTTTCTGTTATCTACCATTTAATACAGGTAGTCCTTGCTTACCTACCACTCATTCAGTGACTGTTCAAAGTTACAACGGTACTGAAAAAGGAGACTTAACAACTGGTCCTTGAAGTTGTGGCTGTTGCAGCATCCCAAGGTCACATGATCATGATTCGGGTGCTTGGCAACCAGCGCACATTTATGACAGCGCAGCATCCCACAGTCACGTGATCGCCATTTGCGACCTTCACAGGCAGCTTCTGACAAGCAGAGTCAATGGGGAAGCTGGCAGGAAGTTGCAAATCACAGTCACATGACATTGCTGTTGACGACTGCGCAGGATTTGCTTAATGATCACAGCCAGAAATGACATTGTAAGTCAGGTGTGGTCACGTGACATTTTACTTTATGATCATGTTGCTTAGTGACAGAGTTGCCGGACCCAATTGGGGTCAGTAAATGAGAACTACCTGTATATAGAAGCTGGCATTTCTTAAGAAAATAAGTACTAGTACTGTATATACTTGTGGATAAGCCCATCTGCGGATAAGATGACTCTCAAATTTTTAACTGCAGTGACAGGCGGGAAACTGCAAATGCTTATGCCATAATTTATAAAACCACATGACTTTAAGGCCATGACAGGCTTTAAAAAACCTGAGCTCTGGTCCGCAGGTAAGCTGAACCCAATTTTTGGGGTATATTTTGGAACCTAAAATTCTCAGCTTATCAACAAGCATACAGTATATGGTAATAATACTAATACTAGAAGTAGGTTAAAATGTTAAAATCAATGGCTTTTAGAGAACATGGTGACCTGCATTTCTTCAGATCAGTGGGTTCTGCACTTCGAAGGGTTGCAGTGGGAAAGCTCGGCAGCTTCCCCACTCAGTATTTGTCATTTGCATCTTCCTTGCAGCCTTCCTTGAAAAGCAGTGACAGAGGTTTGATCTAAATCAGTGTTTCTCAAGCTTGGCAACTTTAAGATGTGTGGACTTCAACTCACAGAATTCCCCAGCCAGCCAAGTTTGAAAAACACTATCTAAATCATGTTTGGCAAAGGACGCTTTCCATCATCCTTATATAAGCATCTGCAATAGAGTCTTCTGTTCCAACCAAGACGAACCACTATATCATTATTAACTCCTGTGGCTTTTTGGTTTCTCTCAAGTTCACATTTTTTCCTTTATACTGTTGTCTTTTTCAGGCATAGTTGCAGATCCTGAAATGGGCCTCTATGTTTCTGAAGCGTTTCACAAAGCTTTCCTTGAGGTGAGCCAGGTTTCCTTCTTTGTTTCCACTCCACTGCATTCTCTTTCTTAAATTAAGCTTTAGCTATTAAACAAATCCATGTTAGATGAACCTAAAAGGCAGGTCACCCTGGATCACCAATGCACCAGCAGTAGAAATTGGGTACCAAGCAGGACATACTTCAAGGAAGTGAAATATTTCAAAGGAAATTATTTTATAAATGTCCTTTTAAAGAGCTCACATTCTTTTTCTTTGTGTAACCCTGTGAGGAATGCTGGGCAGAGAATGACTTTGGGTGGGTTTTATGACGGAGTTTCATTGAAACCCAGGTCTCCTTTCAGATGAAAGATCTCCAAGTCAAGAATCTGCTTCCTCAGGGGTAGTGCTTGCCCATCCAGAGATCACTTGATGGATGGAAAACATCAGTGGACAAATAATACTGCTGCACGCTGATGAGATTGCACCCCAAATTATCAGCTGCCCTCACTCAGCAGCTTCATATAGATATTAAAGATGAGGAGAGAAAGGATGGACCCCTTTGTGGGGGCCCCACAAAGCAGAGGTCACTGTGCTGACTTCTCCTCCACTCTTACTATTTGACTGAACAGCTTTGAAGCTATACAGTATTTAAAAAGAACAAGACAAAAGGATGAATAACATGCTCTTGTGGATGAAAGGAAAGGACAGATTCCTCATTACCTTACTTATCTGTACTGTAGAAACACTTCAAAATGGGTTCCATTTATATGGACTCATGTGAATTAAATGATTAGCCTAGGCATCTGTGAGGAGTGGGTAGCAAGGGAAACAAGTGGCAATATGTACTGTAACATTGCAATCAAATTCTGCTCCTTTCATATTTGCATTGGACATTGTAACACAAAGATAAAAGGGTGAGCTTGGATTGTGATGTTGCAATGCATGTTTTGTCATTTTAGCATCATAGTGTTTTAGGAACAGATTCCAGTGGTGGCCAGGTGCTGATTTGGTAGGCAGACCTTTAAACTGATAATTGTGGAAAATGAAAGAATAGGAATAGGAATAGGAATAGGTATAGGAGGGGGGAGGGGGACGAGGAGGAGGAGAAGGAGGAGGAGAAGGAGAAGGAGAAGGAGAAGGAGGAGAAGGAGAAGTTCGAATGGCTTTGATCCATTTGAAGTCCTCTGGAACAATTATTTTTTATCTTAGTTGTCTGCCAATCCTTTAGCTCTTCTGCTTGTCTTAGCAGACATCAGGATAATATCAGCAAAATAACCCTACAAGATGCAATGACAAAGCTATTATGTCTGAACTCTTTGATAACAAATCACTCTCCTGGGCATAGTTTCAAATGCCTATTGAGCAGATCAGTGCCGTATTGAGATAGCTGAAGAACATTCCTCTATACAGTAGATCAGAAAACTTAATATACACACAGATTTAAACTATTCTACCCCATTTTCCACATCTTTGTATGGTTAATCCTAATTTGGCACTCAATTCCTCACCCCTGTCCCCCCTCCCCAAGGCTGTACTGTCTCAAATGAAAAAGAGGGAAAACACAGGGCTGACCCTAAAATATAAATATATAAACTGATCAGATGATTTTGTTGTATGATTGATTTCATCAGCTCAATCAGTAAAGCTTGCTTAAGCTAGCATGTGAAAACACACCTTTTGAAATAAAAGCCATGTTTTTAGATACTGTGCAGATGGACTGCAGCAGCATTTTAGGGAAGAAGCCTTCCTTTCCTCTGGGGAAAAAGGAAATGCCTCAAAACAGCTTTGATGTATGTCTCTGGCCCCGTAAATCAGGGACACCTATAGTCAATGACCCTATTAAGTATTGCAGCCCTGATGATGTTCCTAGGGAAAGAACACTGTCAAAGGGGAAGAAAAACACAACTGTTTCTGTTTGGTCTCTATTGTAGTCTCTGATGTATGTTCCTAATTCTGTATGCACATTTTATTTTATCAGGTAAATGAAGAGGGCAGTGAAGCAGCTGCTTCCACCACAGTTGTAATTTCTGGTCGTTCATTTCCTTTGAACAAAGTTGTCTTCCATGCCAACAGACCTTTTATGGTACTCCTAAGGGAAGTGGCTATAAATGCCATTATTTTCATGGGAGAAGTGGGTGATCCCTGTCCCTAAAACCTTTGATTTGCAATGCTCTTATCTCCTTAAACCAACAGCCATCTTGGTGTTTCTGTTGCATTATAACAAGCTCAGTACATGCAGACAAATAAATGTAAACCTTTCAAGAAGAGCCTCCGTTGTGTGATTTACTTGAACATCCTGTCCTGCAGTGTAGCCTTGCTCCAATAGGACTTTGGGAAGCAGCTGATTCAGCAAAAGTCATCTTTTACTTGCAAACAAGGTCATTATCTGCATAGCTTACTGTGTCTATTCTTTCCTTTCTATCCAATATTTGTTTTCTCTGCTAATCCAACTTGGAAATGGAATAAATTGTTCAATATATGTGTGTTCAGAAATACATCTACTTACAATATGCAGAGACTCCAGAGGAGTTTCTCAGTAAATCACACTGTCTCATGAGTTCTTATCTGAGATGGTAGATATTTAAGAGGACTGTGTAGCATTAGAAGTGATGGGAATTATAACAAATATATGGTTGACTCTGAAAATGAAATGTTAATATGCTAATACAATTAAGACTTCATACACCATTCAGAGGGCTGAATCAAGAAGATTATATATGCTGCCTATTTATAATCTTATTGTTCAATGTGTGCAATTAATATGCACCCATATTTTCAGTGAAGAGCTGCAGACTTTAAAGGGAAGAAACTAATTCTTATGATTCCAACCAATACAATACAATACAATACAATACAATATGGTTGTATTCTAGTTTACAATATGCAGAACCTCACACATGGGTGGGCAACCCACAAATCTGTGTTGCCAACTGCTACAAATGTGGTGATGACTTTCTGAGCACCCTGCCAATCAGCTGATTAGGGAACTGCCAGAAACAGTAGTATAGGAAAGGAAGATTTCCCAGGACAATAGTACTCTCCTGTTATTGCAGAGTGAAACAGGATGAAGCTTCTTGTGTGTGCTTATGTGGATATGCAATTCTCTTCTCACCAGCAGCTGATACACCTTCTGGGTGTGAAGAGATTGTATAAATATATATGGAGTGAACAGCAAAGAAATACCCATTTTGCTCAATGCATTTTGCTTCTTTCTACGTGTGCTATAGCTTAGGAGAAGTACTGTAACTGTAGAAAGCTATTGCACTGCTAAGGAAAAGGGTGGAAACTGCTACTGCAGGAGGTTCTTTACCATTCATCATATTCCATGGGAAATCAAACAACTTATCTGATAACTGCACAATCAAGAAGAGCAGATGTGCATAACTTCTGACCAAGGCAAACATAACTCAGCAGCTCTTTGGGGTTAATCTTCCTATTCTGACAGTCAATCATCAGAAAAAGTTTTCTAAGTGTATGACATGTCACCATATATAGATCATGACCTGAATTCATCCTGATGAGTTACAGTAAATTGAGGCATGAGGCATTACCATCTTCTCACTATGAAATGAGGAATGCAAACAGGCCAGCAAGATTTATTGCCCAGAAAAAAGCAGTAGGGAACTTCCATGAACGAAAAATAAATGTTTGGCAGAATGATCAAGGTGAATTTTCTCTGTTAAAAGACAGCATGTAAAACTGCAGGGAAATAAAAATATTCTACCTTTGAGTATTAAACCATTTAATTCTCAAACCACTCACATGCATAACATTTCTTTTATACAGTGTTAAAGAGGAAAAATGCATTTGTTTTAAAATACAAACAGAAGTTCAAGTATACATTTATAGAATTTTTCAGAATTCTAACCAAGTTGCTAACTTCTCATTCACATTTTAAAGCTGTTTGATAAGAGCTTTTTTGTTGCTAAACTGCTTTAAAGAAGTTTTGTACAAGCCTTTATCTTCATTGTCATATTTTATCTCCTTCTACCCACATCAAAAGGAACACCCACAAAATCATTACCTTCTTGCTTCCCTTTTATTCTCCCTCCATGTGCTTAAGGATCAGTGGGAGAATAGGAGTGTGCATGGGTTTGGAAAATGAGAAAAATAAATAAATCGGGCAGTTCTGCTACCAATCATTTGCAAACAGCTGGATCCCTTTTCAGCCTGCTGCAAAATAACACATTGTTCCTTGTAATTCAAAGCAATGAAACTACCAAAAAGAGCTATACAACAAGAAGTCTCAGTACTCCAACAGAAAAGTAAATATTATCCCTCTATTTCAGGTTCACAGAGTATGTCATATGGTGATTTTGTTTTAAAAAGGAAAGCAGAAACAAAACCCATCTGGCAGAGAGAGGGAAAAATGTATTTTAATATTAAGAGTGAACAAATATGGATATAACCCCCCCCCGCCCAATAACCTTGAACCACTCTTTCCTCAAATTCTTACAAATCCCACTAAAACCAGGGTCATAACCCCAGTGCTTCCTTTGGGAAAATTACCTAATATCTAAGATGTGCAATCCAACCATTCCATTGTTGCTCCCATTTGATGCGGCCAAAGGTACAGAATATCCCTACAATGTATGCAGTCAAGGTAGCGGGGCAACTAAACTCACGCTATCTAATACAGGCCCAGCTTTCAATCTGCCACCATGACTAGCCCTGCTCTCCCACCCCAATACAAGGTGAACTTATTTGAGGTAGGAATTCAGCAGAGATAATTCTAGGAAAGTTTAAAACTGACACTATTTCAATACAGTTTGATCCCATGGAAGTTCAGCCCATCTCAATGCTGCAGTTCTGTATACATTACAAACCTTTGAAGTGTCTGCTGCATTTTCTTATGGCTCTATAGCTTTCTAAAAACCATAGCTTGGTTTGATGCAGAAACACAGCCCATTGCAATAAGCAAAAACAATTTATCTTATTTCACAAGCAACCTTGCATGCCAACCTTCCACGTATTATATATCTGAATTAAAATGTGGGATGCAAACATAGCATTTTTCTTTCATAGTCTTGAGGGGTGCAGAAGTGCCAACAAAGAGGAGAGAACATACAATATTTTTGCCTCCTGCAGGAGGCACGATCACTACTAGGGCTGTCCAAAGTGTTAAAAAATGTTTTCACCATGTGCGCTAGTGCAAATAAAACACCTCTCTTTGAAAACTGTTCCCATTTGTCTGCATGTACAGATATATGTGCAGGCAACACTTTGTTGGGACTCGCAGTGAAGTGGTTGTGCATGCCCACAAACACAGAGACAGCTGGGGACAGCTTTGAAAGCAGCCATGCAAGCCTTACAAGCGATGCAGCTGCTAAAACACTTCAGGAGAGATGCCTTGTTTGTGCTAGCCTGGGCTGCAAAAGAACTCTTCTAACTGCTTTGCACCATGGTAATCAGTCCTATCCATTTTCCACCTAAGACAATTCTCCTGTATATAATAGGTAACAATATCCATAGAATTTAAAGTGCATGTGGGGAAAAGAAGGGAAATGAAGGAGTTAAAATAACATACTTAAAGTGCCACACTACATTTAAAAGCTGGCTTGCACGAAATGATAGCAAAAAAATTAAGTGTAATAATTAAATGGATTCTTGAAATAACCACAGACATCGCCTGTTGTCATACAAGTCAAGTGTACATGCTTTCTTTCTCTTTGTGTGTGCATGTGCTAAGCTGCTAGCATGCTCCCCAAAGATCTTAGTAGCTGGGGTTCACAGCAAGATCAGGGGTTGAAAGTTTCACTCACAAGGCATCTGGCCTTGCCCACTGAGCATGCTTCTTGTGCCTTGCTGCAGTGATTTTTTGTTGGTGTGCCTCCTTCTCAAAAGTTCAGTTTAATCACTCAGTTTACAGTCTGAAGCCTCATATGAGCACCCTCATCCTGGAAGCCCTGGCATGAATACTGTTGGGCATGAGAAGAAGAACTGGTATTTGTCATCAGCCACAAGGGGGAAAAAAAGGCAAAAATTTATTCTCAAATACTATAAAACATGCACTCTCCCCAAAGAACTGACAATCTTTCCATGGTCGATTTTATACTGTATATAAAACTAAAATGCCAAGATACCTGTAGATACTTAATTCAACATACTGAGATTTGAAGTCAAGGGAATAAAAATGCATAGTTCTTGAAAACCTATACTGGATATGCATGGTCAAGAGCTACGAACAAGGACGTAGTTATATATAAACCAAGTGTATAGAATAAATAGCACCAGAGAAAGAGGCACAGAAATCTCTGCTGAAATTGCACAGCATTCTCTTCCTGAGCAGACTACAGTTCCAATATCCAGTGGCTGCAAGAGGAACAACACTATTTTCAACGTTCTTTCAAGTTACATTTCCTAAGAGCAGCAGATGTCATTCAAAATAGACCACTGACACACAAGCCAGTACTGCCACTGCTCCCCAGTTATTCATAGTTAAAGAGATCAATTTCACTTTCCTCTATAACAGTCTCTCCCCTGTGTCATTGCTATTAAAGGGTGACTCTGTATGTATCAATGTCGAGAAAGAACATACATTTTATTACTATGGATTATGGGAGAAGAATAGCTAGAAGTCACTGGTCTGATGGCAACAGTATGACAGTTAAATCATTCACACACATGCACGTACACATATAAGCTAAATGTATCAGTTTTAAACCTAGAGAAAATACCTTTTTTATGATTCCCATACAGTATAAGTATCCATGAGTAGCCCTCATTTATCTGTTTCCTTGGGGCTTCTATAGGAGAACTTTCCACTCAGCCACCCTGTGCTTATCTATTCCCTTTGAAGACCTCTCCCATTGTTTTATCTTGATTGTCAGTTGTGATTATTACTGATTTAGCAAACAGCATGCCACATCCAAGTCTTATTCTAAAATTTACTTCTATTAATGTACAAAATTCTTTGTTTCCATTATCTCACAGAAAACATCATTGCTACCCACTGTAGTTGGTTCTAATATATGTAAATTTGAATCATCGTTCTTGAGATACTTAACTAATATTTTCTGAATACAAAGTAAAAGAGCATGATCTCCTTTGAGTCTGACTACAAGCAGATCTCTATACTTCCCTTAGCATTAATATAGAAGTGGTTTGCCATTGCCTTCTTTTGGGTTGTTTTTTCAACTTCCCAGTCTGGTCCACAGCTTTGGGAATCCCTGATAATCTCCCATCTAAGCACTAAGTGGATCCCTTTCAAAACTGATCCTGCTTAGCTCTTTCAAGATCTGCTAAAGTTGATTAGGTGCTGCCACAG